CAATAATTACATCCTTCGAGCCGGAATTGAACCAGCGACCTAAGGATGGTCGCTGGTTCAGCGACCATCCTTAAGCAAGCAAGCAAGCGACCATCCTTAAGCAAGCTTAAACAACAAAATGTTTCAACATGTAAAAAGATTATCAAAATTGTTTCCAATTAATTGTTCAAGTAATCGTTTCAACTGTACAACTAAAGCTGTCGGATAAATGTAGTGAAGTAAAAAAGTACAACAAATCCCTCTGAGCTGTCGGGGAGTAGAAGTAGAAATTGACATGATCATAAATACTCAAGTAAAGTATAAGTACCTGAAATTAAAGTACAGTACTTGAGTAAATGTACTTAGTTAAATCCACAATCATTATTCTGTAAAAAAAAAAAGTCTAATTGTTTCCGAAGTTGATAATAATTTTCAGCAGTCTGAGTTCGACAAATCAAGTGTGTATCTTCCAAAGTTACAATTTGTTTAAATCAAAAATGACCCGAAGACAATTTGTGTATTTGTTTGTGGAACCAACAGCCTACTGAAAGTGGTATAAATAAGTAAAAGCAAATGTACGTGTGTGAGATGACTTGTTTACAGCCAGTCAGACAGCTCTCTATCAGCTGCTCAATATACTGAATCAGCCAAATGAAATAAATGTAACTAACATGTTTATCTACATGTGTTGATGAAAAATGAATTAGTTATATACATGGAGAAAATGGGTACATGTGACTTTAAGAATTTACATCATTGCCAGCCACCAATGAGGGCAGTCACTCGGTTGCTTTTAACAACAGAGCCCAAACATAGCAACCAGCTAGCGTTAGCTACGTATTGATATTGGTTTCTGGCTAATTGTTCCTTCCCCGCGATGTCTGAAATCAGGATGTGTGAGCCATTTCAGCTCTTTAATCTCCTCAACCAGTGCAGCTCAGTGTCAAGGCTGGCAGAGATCAACTACCTCTGTTTGATTGGTGGGAAATGGACTCCGCTAGCTCAATTTGTAATGTTGGATTTTGCTTGATTGCTCTGCTTTAATTCAATTTACCTTTTAGTTGTTATGTATTTGTGTGTTGTATGTCTCCATTCTAGATGCTGGAGAAACCCATGACTACAGAATGAGTCACATCATGACAGCTAAGAATGCCAAAATGGTATGGAAGTCATTGTATGACCAGTGATTCATGCCTGTCTGTCCAAACAGTCTGGGTCTGATTGGTACAAATAAGTGTAATTGGGCAGAAGGTTGGTTGCTGTAAAATGTCGTAAGAAATCTGTGCTTAGCAAATGGTTCAAGCAAGCATTGGTATTATTGCTCATAGATTATTTAAATTTAAAGCACCTCTCATGGCCCTTAACTGCCCAGACTAAATAATGCGCGGAGAGTTATTTGCAACCATTTTTGTTTTCAAAAAACAATTTACAAAAAGGATCAAGGGGAATGAATATAGTTTGTTTTGTAAAGAATAGGATGTGTTACTAAATATTGTAAAGTTGTTTAACACAACAGTACAGTAGACAACAAAAAATAGTATGTATGAATAAAATATATATTTTATAAAAGGATCCAAGAGAAGTAGAGATCGTTGTTACAATATGTAACGGGATCGAAACAAACAAACTAAAATACAAGCCTTGCAATGCAGCTTAATTTCTTCTCATTTTGTTGCGTCAAATATATCAAAACTTTCTGTGTGCCTCTTTCCAGGATTCAAAGAGTACGTTTCTCCTGCCAGAGGCTGTGGAGGTTGACAGTATGCAGCACGTGGTGGTATATGACAGCAACACATGCTTTTTACATCAACAAGGTAACTGGACATGTTTCTTTAAAGGAGCACTTGGGCATCTGTATTTTCCACGACCCCCCTAAACTAGTAGTACTTAGCTAGTAGCTCTCTTCAGGCAGTGCTTCCAGTGTGCATTTCAGCCTCTAATGTGTACATTGATGTTCATCAGTTTGCTTCTGACTGTGATTGCAGACAGAGCGGTTCAATGTGCCCAGGAACTGGCCAAAGCTAGCCTCTCTCCGGTCCACATAGTGAAAGGAGGCTATCAGAGGTTCTCGGCTCTGTATCCTTTTTTATGCACTGAGAAAATCATCTACACCATCATGGTAAGACAAAACGCACCTGATACACCTGGGGGCTTTGTACACACATGTTAAAGTCCATGGGGGTTCATCTCAATCGAGTCAGGACAAAGTTGAATCAGTGTTTGATCTTTAGTCCAGTGATTTGGGTTTCCGGATGTTCACAATCAAAAATACAATCCTTAATCTGTGCACAGGACCTTTTTTATATTGTGTTGTTGGTTTTGTGTCCACTATTCATACCATAATACATCTAGAAAGACACTCAGAGATTATAACAAAATGACTCACTATATGGTGAACTATATAGAGAATAGTAAACATTTCTGACACAGCCTCACACTGTTAGTAATCCAGCCTCGCTTACATATATACCAAACAATATGAAATAGTGTTTTTTTTTTTTTATTGAGTTTAATTTTGATACAATTTAGTATATTTCTGGACTTTCTCAGGAGCTGGAAAACCTGAAGCCCTATCCAGTGGAGATCATAGCGCTGCTGTACATGGGTGATGAGAAACAAGGCATGGACTCCAGCATCCTGAAAGACCTGAAAGTCAGAGCTGTCATCGACATCTCGGAGAGTAACACTCTGGAGTAAGACAGGATCGGATGTTTGAAATATCATTAGAGAAAACTCTGAGTGTCATGGCTGTTCAATTTGTTCTGGATTTCTTTTCGGTCCAGATCCATAAATGGGAACCAGACCGTCACTAACATCCCTGTGGCTGACTCAGTGGTGTCTGATTTATATTCAAGTCTTAAAAGGATTTGCAGTCTTATTGGTAAGTTGTGATTTACTTAATCACATCCTTTATTCTACAATCGGTGAACATACGCAGATATTTGTACCAGCAAGTGATTGATTTGATGTTGATGGAAAATCTAAATGCATCAAATGGAAATCTGAATTTGTTTTTAATCAATTCGGGGAATAAAATGCAATACCAGATTCAGGGAATTAGGAAAATCAACTTATTTTAGCCGTTTAAATTCCACATTAAATGAAATTGTTCAAGCTTAAGTTTGTCATTTCAACCGTAAAAAATACAGCTGAATAGAATGACATTCTGTTTCTCACAGACCCAGGGAATATAAAACAACAACTAAAATGTATGGGTGCTTTAAAATGCACAGGTTCTCAGTAGGTTCAAAATTACATTACATACATTTTGTGGAGTTTTATGAACAAAACTTCATCAGAGCAGGGAAATAACTTAAAACTATCTATTTGCTAGATTTGCCATAAATGTAGTTGCTATTAGTGTACATGGATTGCCTTGATACTGCAGATGTTTTATGGTTACATAAATAGCCATCTATCCTCTTGTTTTCAGGTTCACACATCAACATGGGCTCTTGTGTCCTGATAGTTTCCAGGAACGGCAGAAGCCGCTGCAGTGCTGTCGCCATTGCCTTTCTCATGCACCACCTCAAATACACACTGGAGGCAAGTGGGGTTCATTCAGTTTGGTATTAGTGTGTGCAGACTGCAGTAAGTGCTGTGCAAATTGTCATCCTGTAGTCCTCTGCTAAGAGTGTCTTCAAATGCGTTTTAATTGCTTTTGTTCCAAATCAGAATAAGAGGCAATTTTGAAAGCCCCGGACATGCAACCAGTCAGCATCTTGTTTGTTTACAGCATGAACAGATACGTAAAAAAGACAATTTGTGTTTAATACATGCAAAACACAAAGTGAAAGTGGTTTTACTGCTGGCTCCAGTTTAGCACACAGATGTGAGAGCGGTATCAATCTTCTCAAAAGGACAAAGTCTTTGCACACACAGGCATGATATATTGATCATGGAAAGAGAGCATACGCATATGAAATATAACATAGTATTTGCAGTATATAGAATTTTATTGGTATGACTTTTTTTTCAGGAGGCCTGGAAGTACATGCTCAAATGTAAACCCAACATGAGACCAAACACAGGGTTTCTACAGCAGCTGTCTGACTGGGAGCTTCACACCGTGGGAACGAAAGTGACTGACATCTCTGGACCTCATTTTTAACAAAGGATGATGTCATGTTATTTTGAAGGTGAAATTCAGGGGAAAGAGGTTGTGTATTTGGTCCAGATAATCCATAAATAAACCCTTATGATGGAAGGTAATAATCAGCTCAAAATAAAAGACAGAAGATTGGACAGTGACACCTAGTGGGCTTTGTTTGTACTTCAAACTTTTGTGAACGTCTTCTCTTGTTTTGTATTTATAAACAGTTATATTTATGGATAAATGTTATTTAGTGCCATTTAAATGTCACTAGCTGCAGTTCATTGCTTACATGGCTCTGCTAGAGGTGCTTACAATCTTGGGTATAGGTTCCCCCCTCTAGAGTTATGCAACATCAGCTCTAAAAATACAGCCCACATGCCAATTAGAGAGAAATATATTGCGCTGAAACTTTCCTTGCAAGGGACAGAGAACCGACTACACACCCATTCCACTGAAATGTCTTTGTTTCTATAATGGAGTGCTGCTGTCAGGGTCATAGTTTGGAGTTATATGACTAAACCCTGCAAATAAAACTAGAAGAGATACTATTTCTACACTCAGGGCAAAATGTTTTGAAATCACTCAAGCGGGTATTTAAAGGTCTTGGTGGTGATTGGTTGAAACGAGGAACCAAAATCTTAGAGCTCACCAACGTGCCATCTGATTGGAGTAACCAGTTGCAAAAATGCATGACGCGCATAGGAATGGTTGTAGAGTTTTGTAAAGGGTGTTATCGTTAGCTATGATAAAACCGGACGTTTTTACATGGTCTTAAAAAATAAAAGCGCAAACGTCTTTTATTCAACATTTACATCTGCAGTACACTTTTGAGCCACACGAGAGAACCTGAATGTTTGTATTGTTCCGATAATTGCAGCCTACTTATTACATTGACTAAGAAGAGAGGCTATAACGTTTTAGCCTGTTAACTCCTCCTCAATAGTTTTATTTGGTCTAATTTATAAAGTTTAATACAGTGCGCAGTCTCCTGATTTATAGATTGGGCCTATTGTGAATTGGGTTGCAATGGTATGTCTTTTGTTTATTAAACGGTCCCCCAGAAAAACTGTTTCATCAATTACTTGTTGATCATATTTTGTATTATTAATCTGAATTTGTAAAGGAACTAATATCTATTTAAAAAAATAAATAAATTTAGTGTGGTAAAAAAGTACAAGTAGTGGAGTAGAGAATTAGCAGAAAATGAAATTACTTGAAGTAAAGTACAAGTACCTCTAAATTTGACTTAAGTATAACCTACAGTACTTGATGTACTTGATGAACAACTTTCACACTTTTAAAACACAAGTAAACTAAAAGAACAGTCTAATTTTATGGTCCTAGATCTTGCTAAAATAGAAACAGAAATATTTTCCAGGAAACATAAATAATAAATACAGGGAGCAATCATAAAATGTATCGGGAAATGGCCCCTGATCTCTAACTCCCACTCTTGCCACACCTCAGGCTTTTATTATGAAGGGCACTACAGGAAGTAGGTTTATCTTTTGACACTGACAGCAGCACAACTGTTGCACAGCAGAGGTTGAATGTTAACCCAGCACCACGAGAGTCTTTTTTTCTAATGTCAGTGTTGAAAATGTTCAATTCAACGGGTTTCACTGAATGCTTGCGTGAATGGGAGGATTTAGAGAAGAACCACCAACAAATGCAGGTGAGTCAAACGGCAGCGACACTTTCCTCAGCTGCACCCAGGGGAGTGAGTCCTGCTCAGGGTAACAGTGGCAGTAAGGTGGGAGGTGGTGACAGTGGGATCATGCTACTTGTAGACTTCTACAACTCCACCAATGTTACATTTCAGAGGTAAACAAAGTACGTTTTACTCCACTAGCTACATTTATGTGTCCAATATTCGGGTGCAGCCCTCCACGTGATCACTGTGACCACACAGCTAATTGTGCTGCAACTTAGTAGGTCACATGGTTAGTGGACAACAATGATCCTTTTTCTATGCATATACCTAACAACAGTCCCACCATTCATAAATAACATGCACTGACGGGATTAAATCAGTGGGGAGAAAGAGGTAGTTTATGAGTGTAAGTATCAATAGGCCTACAATAAAGTCAGGTGACAAAAGACAAAACAATAACAAAAAATATGATCGAGCTGCATCCTTATTAATCATTGTGCATTGATCACACTCATTTTGAAGTAGTATAAGAGCAGGAATAGCGAAAAGTAAATCATGTTTTGTCAATTTTCAAAAGGCTTTGGATTAGGTTTATAGAGATTATCCCACTTTTAAACTTTTAAAAGCAAGGGCAGATGTCAGGTTTTCTTAAAGTGTCTAAAATCATTGTTTTGGTGCTTGTATAGAAGTAAATAATATACAAGTTGATTGGTTTACTTCTCCCTTTGGTGTTAAACAAGGTCATATTCCTTCTCCTCTCCTGTTTGCAATATATGGAAATAACTTTGTTCTTGAAATTGAGGAATGAGGAATAATGATTCTTGTAAGCCTGTTTGGGCATATTATTTATGCATCATTCAATAATGAAAAACATTCTGGTATTTTGCATGTGTTACCCCAATATCAATATCTATTCTGGCTTCTTTATGCGACAACCCGTTTCCAAACAGTATTTTACATTTAACTGTGTTGTCATCAAATGCATCTCTATCTTGCAGATTTTTTTTAATAAATAAAAAATGTAAACATTGGCGCTGCACAACACAACTTTGTGTATTCCTTTTTTTTTTTCACCTTCAGGACACCCATCGTTCATACAAACAGAAACTTGAGGAAGTGGCGAAACTGCAAGACAGCTGCTCCGGTGCCATAGCTCGTCAGAGGAAGAAACTGAAAGAGCTCACTGCGTCACTAGAAGAGTAAGTATTGATCAGAGATGCATTGAGAAGAATTTGTTGTGGGGAGTATTTGTGCATTCTTCTCGGCCAGGACCTAAAGGGCTCAGATAATGTATCTGATATGCTTCTTTGAGCTCATTCAAAATCTGGCAATAGAGCATTCAGTGTCTTTGCATGTTCATTTTTGGCAATTTTATTTATTTCTGAATACCCTGATATACTTTATGCATGTATGCAAGTCTGTGCTGTGTTATAACCATGTCATATTGTTTTTCTTCCATTTTTAGATGCAAAGAAAATCATCCAACCCCCAAATTAAATCCAGAGGACGTGGATGCCATCGCTGAAATAGAGGACTCCATCAAAGAGAGAACGGATGCTTTCTCTGAGATGGAAGCTTTTCTGCCAAAGAAGAACGGGTGTGATTTTGTCATATGATTTACTTGGATGACAAAGAGGAGTTTCATATTAATTGTCAGTATTTTTTTCTCCAAATTGTTCAAAGTAGTTGAAGTATTAGTACCATTGTAGTACTAGCATAGTACATGTGTTCTACCAGCTAATGAAGCGCCACATTTTATTTGAATATATTCACGACATAAAACCACAAAACAATCACAATATTTACGATGTCTGCATTGTGAATGACTGACATCTGTTCCCGTTTAGGTTATACCTCACTCTTGTTTTAGGAAACGTCAACGTAACACTCCTCGACAAACAGTCAAAGTAAGTCAGACGTTCCACTTCTTACAACCCAAAACAATATCTTTAAAAAGTAAAGTCATGTCAACATCACATTAACATCGTTTCAGATTTGCCTACAAAGACGAATACGAGAAATTCAAACTGGCCCTCACGGTCATCCTCTTTGTGTTCTCCTTCACATGCCGCTTTTTGTTCAGCTACAGGTAAGAGTTCCCAGCACCTTTTTTATGTTTGCAGAACCTTTCAGCAAGACAGTTTATGTGATAGACAGAAAAGGAACGACAGTGCTCAACGTCTATCGTGATGAAGGAACATGTCTCATAGTGCAGTGATTCTTAACCATGGGGCCCACGATGGGACCGCAACGCCACCTAGAGGGCCGCAAAAAACTTTCAGTTTTGCACCTGTGGGCCGCGGGACCGCATAGGTTATCAATTGAAGACAACAGAAATATTACTGTTCAGTTACAATATAGCTTCCCACCACCTGGTGGCGGTAATGCGTCAGTCAGTTGTTTAACAAGCTACAATAAGCAGAAGAAGACACTCAACTAGCCGCTAGCCCAGGCATTGGCAAACTACGCCTGTCGGGTTTTTTAATCAGGCCCGTCAAGTATTGGTACAAAATTGTCCAAAGTATAATAAAGACTAGAGCTGGGCAGTATACCGGTTTTAATTTCCCGTATGATATGAATTCTTCACACCATTATACCGGTGCATAGCCAAAACAACTGCTGTCTGCTTTCAACAGGCAGCTAAATTCTTTGCTGCTAATGCACAGCGGTCAGCGCTAGTTGTCTTATATGTATTGAGAGGGAACCCTAGTCATGGTCATAACTTTATAACACAACAATTAACAACCCACAACTAATGCTCTTTAACAGAGAAAAACACAACAGCACACAACAGTCTGTGACACAAACAATTTGTAACACTAATAATTGTACATTTATAAAATGTCACCGCCGAACTGCATGCTGGGTACAGCTCGCGAGCGAGCCTGCTTGCTAGCACAACAGTCTGCTAACAGCTCCAGTAACGTTACATTAAAGAACAGAACAGAGCGATGCAGGATGAACAAAGACAGACCGGAGCAGTGTTACATCAGTGTTACATCATTGAATGAATCATAAACATTATATTATTTAACCACTAGAGGGCAGCAGTGTTAAATCATTGAATGAATCATAAACATTATATTATTTAACCACTAGAGGGCAGCAGTGTTAAATCATTTAATGAATCATAAACATTATATGATTTAACCACTAGAGGGCAGCAGTGTTACATCATTTAATGAATCATAAACATTACACGATTTAACCACTAGAGGGCAGCAGTGTTAAATCATTGAATGAATCATAAACATTACACGATTTAACCACTAGAGGGCAGCAGTGTTAAATCATTT